AACCACATAGTCATTGATTTAAGAAAAATCCAAGTACCTTGAAATTCTTTAGTTAATTCCTTATATAAACAATCATTTCATTTGAGTGTTTAATGTGTCTTGTAAACAGTATTTTCATCAACAAGAAGTTAGAGCTGTCCATCAATTGGCGCCCCACTATGAAAATGATATTTTGACAAATCAGTTATTCAGCGCAAATCCTATAATGATTTTCTGTGAACACTTATGCTGAAATAGTTAACACTTGTTTTAAAACTCCACTTTGGGAGCCTTAGTCTTTACTAAAAATGAAAAGGAGACTGATTAATTGTTTACGCACAATCTTCACACCTCACTATCCTAAAGGGCCCCTCAACCTACTCTAGGTATTCAGAGGGGTACCTCAGCTCTCCAAAGGGAACCCTGGTTATCCAAGAGAAATGCACTTAGAACATATCTGCTCCTATCTAGTCTACTGTCCATGCTCTAAGTTCCAGACATCAGGAGCGCGAAAATCGGGTAACAGAATATATGTTCTCAAGTGTTAAAGTGGCTGTTGTGATCCATCTGCATAATTGTGCCCATGACATGATGCCAGCGTAACATTAAGTTTTAAGCCAGTTGTGAGATCTGGGAAAATACAGCAACAATTGTAACCAGTCTGTAAATTCCTTTAGTAGGAGATTCCCTGGTTTCAATGAAAACAAAGCTGATTAATTGTAAATAGGTGTAGAGCTGGATGAACACAGCAGGCCAAGCAGCATCAGAGGAGCAGGAAAGCTGACGTTTCGGGCCTAGATCCTTCTTCAGAAATGGGGGAGGGGAAGGGGCATCTGAAATAAATAGGGAGAGGGGGGAGGCGGATAGAAGATGGATAGAGGAGAGGATAGATAGAGAGGAGAGTCTCCCCCTCTCTCCCTATTTATTTCAGAACCCCCTCCCCCTCCCCCTCCCCCATTTCTGAAGAAGGGTCTAGGCCCGAAACGTCAGCTTTCCTGCTCCTCTGATGCTGCTTGGCCTGCTGTGTTCGTTCAGCTCTACACCTTGTTATCTCAGATTCTCCAGTATCTGCAGTTCCTACTATCTCTGATTAATTGTAAGAAAATTTCAAAGTGTATTTGTATAAAAACCGGGTTATTTAACAGTCACCAGAAGCTCTGATTTACAAAGAAATTTATAGACGGTTGCTGTGTTTTCCTGGATCTTACAACTAAAATTATTGCTCTCTGATTACTGGTTTCCTACTTGGAATGAATTTCAGCTCAATAAACATGGTTGTTTTTATCACATTTAACTCTTTTAGCTTTTGCACTTACGACTGTAACACTGCACCTACTGTAGCCTTGCCTATAAATACAGCCAATCCTAGTGACCAGCTGCAATTGGGAATTGCACATGCATGATCTATAGCTCATCCCTAAACCTGCAAAAAAAGTGAGAATTACTGGATTCCGGGGTGTGATTTGGGATTCCTGTATTCATCTAGCATTTTCACTGCAAAGGAGATATGTTGAAAATTGGGGCCAATTTTTTAAACTAACTGGACAATGCAGTCTTTATAAGAAATATAAATGTAGTTTGCTTTCTGAACAGTTAAATTGTAACATGCATCCTTACAGCTGATATTTGAAAGCATGCCTAAAAAAGTATTATTTGTTGTCAGATTGATCTGAAGTGCAGCTTAGATCAGCTCAGAAAATCAAAGTAAACGTATACCATTGTGCCTCTCAGTTAAACGTACAACGTACCACAAAGTGTTGTTTTAGATGCTCTATTCACATATAGAATTGGCCGAGCCCCAACCCTTTCACTATTGGTGGTTATGATATTAAATGTTTATTGCAGTTTATATATTGTGACCAGAAAGAAAATGCACGAAGTACTCAGGACAGGCAGCACCTATAGAAAGAGAAATGGAGTCAATAAAGGTTCACTTTGTAATCAGAAGTTTGCTCTTAGCTAATATCTTTGTGATAAATCAACTGCGGGGCAAATTATTGATAGAAAGCAAATATTAGATCTAAGTAGGTGTATGCCTGAATGCTTGCTGCATGAAAACAATGCACCAGAATTTCAACTTGTTGGGTTCAGTGAACTGAGTTTGTAAGGGATAGTGTGCTGGTTCTGTTGACACTTTAAAAACTTTACCAAATGCAGAATTATAAAGTACAAATGGGTTCTATTAGATTATTCACTTGCCAGTTGTACTTATTTTTATGACTGGGTAAATGTTCTTTCAGCCCTGTCCATAAAAATATGAGAAGTGAATCTACAACTGTTATACTATTCCTTTATTCCTTTTAATGGCAATGTTATCTAGATTCTTTTGACAAGCATTTAGAGTTTCTGCCTTGCTCATGAAGCACAGCTGTGGAAAGTGAAATAGATATCCAGATACTGAGCTTCACTGTTTTAACTGGTATTGTGCTTTATAACATGAATTCTGAATTTCAGTTTGGAGGAAGTTTCCTTGTAACGCTTAAAATAGGAGTTGAGAAATTGTTAAATTTCATATTTCACTTCAATTTGAGAATGAATTATATGTGAGTATACCAGAACATAAAAAGGAACATGGTTGGACCATTGTAAATATATGGGTATGAGTGTTCATGAAAGTGCATTTGTGCCTTAAATCCATGCCTTCTTTTCAAAAGTGGCTCTTGTATCAAGTAATTATATATCTTTTGAAGCAGGAGGCTGTGTTGCCTTCAACCACTTAGAAAAGCACAGTATGATTAGAACATGTCAGGATGCTGTTACTAAAGACAAATCTTATTGTGTCCATTTATTAGAGTTCATAGAGTTATACAGCGTGGGAACAGACCCTTCGGTCCAACTCATCCATGCCGACCAGATATCCTAAATTAATCTAGTCCCATTTGCCAGCATTTGGCCCATACCCCTCAAAACCCTTCCTATTCATATACTCATCCAGATGTCTGTACTTTATACTAGCCTCCACAACTTCCTCTGGCAGCTCTTTCCATGTATGCACCACCCTCTGCATGAAAAATTTGCCCCTTAGGTCCATTTTAAATCTTTCCTCTCTCACCTTAAACCCATGCCCTTCAGTTTTGGACACCCCACCCCAGGGAAGAGATCTTGCCTATTTACCCTCTCCATGCCCCTCATGATTTTATAGACCTTTATAAGGTCACCCCTCAGCCTCCAACACTCTAGGGAAAATAACCCCAGCCTATTCAGCCTCTGCCTATAGCTCAAACCCTCCAACCCTGGCAACATCTCATAAGTCTTTTCTGAACCCTCTGTAGATTTTCAACATCCTCCCTATAGGAGGGAGACCAGAATTGCATGCAGTACTCCAAAAGTGGCCTAACCAATGTCCTGTACAGTCGCAACGTGACATCCCAACTCCTAAACTCAATCCACTGACCAATAAAGGCAAGGATACCAAACGCCTTCTTCACTGTCCTATCTACCTGCAAGTCCACTTTCAAGGAACTATGAACCTGCACTCCAAGGTCTTTGTTCAGCAGCACTCCCCAGGACCTTCCCATTAAGTGTATAAGTCCTACCCTGATTGGCCTTTCTAAAAAGCAGAGCCTCACATTTATCTAAATTAAACTCCAACTGCCACTCCTCGGTCCATTGGCCCATCTGATCAAGAACCCATTGTACTCTGAAGTAACCTTCTTAGCTGTTCACTGAGTTTTTGAGGATGTAACTAGTCAGGTAGGAAATGGAGACCTGGTAGATGTACTATACGTGGCTTTCCAAAAGGCATTCAGTAACATACCATACAAAAGATTAATAGACAAATAAGTCCACATGCAGTCAAGGGTAATATGTAATATGGATGAAAGATTGGTCAGTAGTGGACAGGAGAGAAACAATGGCATAAATGGAGCATTTTCAAGTTGGCAGAAGTGAATAGTGGAGTGCCACAAGGATCAGAACTGATAACCTCAGTTATTTACAATATGCATTAACCATTTGGATGAAGAGACTGAGAGTCATGTATCCAAGTTTGCAGATACGTAGTTAGCTGGAAAAGAGGACACAAGAGGCTGCAAAAAGATATAAACAAGTTAAGTGAGCGGGCAGCGCAGCAACAAATCGGTTATGGTGTAGGAAAGTGTGAAGTTATTCACTTTGGACAAAAGAATGGAAAAGCAGAATCCTTTTGTAAAAAGCGAGGAAAATTATAAGTGATGGTTCAAAACGACTTTGGATGTGTTTGTACTAGAAGTTGAAAGTTAGCATGCAGGTACAGCAAGCAATTAAGGAGGCAAATTGCATGTTGATCTTATTGCAAGGGATTGGAATATAGGAATAAAGAAGTCCTGCTGCAATTGTACAGGTTTTTAGTCAGATCCCATTTCAAGTATCATGTGCAGTTTTGGATTCCATGTCTAAGAAAGTGTTCTGAGGAATGGTCACCAGACCTGAAACATTAACTCTGATTTTTCTTCACAGATGCTGCCAGACCTGCTGAGCTTTTCCAGCAACTTCTGTTTTTGTTCAAGAAAGGGTGTGCTTGCGGAGGAGGCAGTACGGTAAAGGTTCATTAAGTACATCCCTGTGATGAATGATTGCTCTGTGGTGAGAGGCTGGACCTATATTCTCCAGAGTTTAGAAGGATGAGAGGCAATCTTGTTAGGACATATGAGAATCTGAAGAGACTTGATAGAAGCAGAGCATTTAAGACCGAGATAAGAAGAACTTGCTTCACTGAAAGGGTTGCGAATCTTTGGAATTCTCTACCCTACACTGTTGTAGATATTCAACTATTGAATACATTTAAGGCTGGGGTGGACTGATTTTTGGTCATTTGAAATTCAGCAATATGGGGATTTGAAGTCTAAATCAATTACGATCACAATGAATGTCAGAGAAGGCTAAATGGTCTACTCCTCCTCTTGTGTTCATATCTTTGGCTGTGGCATACCGGTAAATCACTTTTTACAAATACAGAAATGGTCTAATCAGAATTGCCTATGTAAAATGTTATATAAATTTAGTCCTTAGTTGGCACTAGACCTGTTTCATCTGTTTTGCAGGCTGCCTGGAAACATGCATTTGAAAAAGCCAAACACATACCTGATCCTTGGGCAGAATTCCATCTGGAAGAAATTGAGACCGAATCAGCAACTCGTTACAGGTCTATATTTCTTGATGCTTTAGTTCTACCTTTTTGTTCTTGTGCGTCTGAAATACATGCCTAAATGTAAAGAAAATTTGCTTTAAGAGTCTATTGAACAGAATTTAATGCAAAGCAAATACAATTGAGAAATGAGTCAGAATCTATTGAGGCTGAGAATTTTATGAGAGGTGTGTAAGTGTTTTTCTAAATGTTGCTCATGAGCTCCCATTCATTGTGCATTGTGCACTCTTGGCATATCTCAACTGCCAATTGAAATAAAGCAAAACAGTGAAGAATTTTCCTAAATAACGGGCAATTTTACTGTTCTTCCTTGAACCCGTTACTGTTTTAAATGGAGATGGATTAATAATGTGTTGCTGTTTGAGATCATTAGCTTCCCTCCTGATGTTATTTGATGTCAACCAAACTTAAAAAGTGTTTTCCTTCAATTAGCTTTCTTTTAAAAAGAAACTCGCATAGACCTAGTGCACTACTTGTTTGAGGGCTGGAAAGAGTATCAGCTCATTAATATACAAATAGTTTGCAATCTACTCATGGCTAGATAAGGAAGTTCACTTTATGTAGTGCAGATTCATAGAGTTTACAAAGGTGTGCTTGTGTGCTGTGGTAGTAATAACTCTTATTGGCCCAGTATTTAGGATGCTACAGTTGTCCATGGTGCCATAACTTGGGAGAGAAAACATTAGGCAGGATTTTCTGTTCACTGTTGAAATGCTGACATCATATTTAATCTTTCTGTAGAATTGAGTTTAAAGAATTTTCAAGATTCATGGATTTTTCTTTTGAAGTGGCCAATGAAAAGACAGTGGATGTTTTTTGAACAAGGGTTTCGTTTGGAAACTACAGGATTCCAGATAATTGCTGATCTTGGTTGCTTAATGTCACTTCACGGCAAACATGACTGTTCTGTTTGTATAATGCTTTGAGAGCTTGAAGATTGTTCTGGATTTTGAGTTGTGAGGTGAGGAACTTGCTAAACAGCAAGCTGCTCAGCTCATGTCTCCTGTTGTAGGAGTGCCTACTGTGGTGAATTCATTGTGAAACTTAAATGTCCTCTTGAAGAGTGACTGGAAAACATTGTGATACTGTAGTTACTGCGCAGGTTGCATTTGCCAACATCCCACAGATAATTGCCAGTGTTTGGTGACACGTGTCTATACATGCCAGAACGCCCGACCGACAGGTGTCTGAACATCTCAAACCTTGTCCTTTTTGATTTCAAGGACTAAGACTTATTAGTCAAAAGTGTATTTTTTCTTATAAGAATTAATCTCTGGAGAGAGAAATCTTTTTTCTGTGTGTGTGTGAGAGAGAGAGAGGGAAAGAACATGTATTTGCATACGTTTTGAGTTATTTATCTATATAAACGTTTGTATTTTCATACTCCATGTTAACCAGTTTTGCATCTTTCTTGAATATGCTTTGTTTTATAATAAATCAAAAATTTTGGGTTCATTAAAGAAACCTGGTTGGATCTATTTACTTGAGTCTTATTTAGAGAAAGCGTACAATTGGCCATGTTGGGGAAGAAAGGGAAAACAAATCATTTTACGTTGAGACCTGTTTGAAGTGGGATGAAAGAAAGTACATGCACTCCTTCCATTTTGATCATAACACTATCTAGTGACCTCTGCTGAAAAGTGAGATGGATGAAGCCAACATACAACTAAAATGTGATGCCCACCTTATGTCAGTAGGCCAGCAGCTCACTGTAGGATATTGCATGAAAAGTGCACATTTGGGTCAGTTAAGAATAACAACCAATTCCCAAGGAAACTGTACACCAAAATGGATCATACAGTGTACAAGGTATATGTTTAGCCCATCCAGCCAATAGCAACTGTTCAATTGTACCCACTGTCCCTGTTCTTTCCCTTTAAACGTGCAGTTTAATTTTTCCTTTTCAAGAAATAATCCAATTCTCTTTTAACAGTAACTATTAGCTCTGGTTACAATCCCCTTTTAAACAGTGTATTCCAAATCATCATAACTCACTGCATTAAAATATTTTTAGTTCAATCCTCTGTTTGTCTGTCTCTTTCTCTCTCTCTCTCTCTGTCTCTTCCCTTCACTCTCTCCAAAGAAGTTAATTATTTTTAATCTGTACCCTCTGGCTACTGACTTGATATCTACTGTATGAAAATTTTTCATAATTTTGAACAACTCTATTACCTCTCTCCTTGCACTTCTCTGATCTAGTAAATCTGTTCTGTCTCCTGTCTGAAGTCTAGATATTTTAAGGAGACATCAAAGCTTCCACTAGAAATTAACTAATTTTTATAAACATTATACACGAAACAATAAAAGAACTTCAGACGTAAGATTTCTTTCATTTTTACTAATTTAATTTAAATGATGTTCTTCTGTTTTAAACCTTACTTGGATCTCTTTCTAGATTTAAAACAGTGCCAAAAGGTCCTGCATGTGAGAGGACAACCTTTAAATAGCAACATTGTATGCAGGGACAGTAACACTAGCTGACTACTGCAAAGCTACAGCAATGCAGTATAATCTAAATTTATTATTATACTTGGCTTTCAGCCATTCAGTCAAACTTGCAACTCTGCAGTTCATGGGAAACCCACTGGGAATGAACAATTATGTATGAATGTCAGGATATAATCCTCACCACCCCTTTAATTAAAGCATCTAGTAATGGCTTTAAGCTCTTGCTGGCATGTTATTGCAGAGCATCACAGGCGAGGTAATAATATCTGTTGCAGACTAAAGTATGTAGCTGCTATTCAGACTCACAAGTTTTTGCTAACCATAAGCCAAAAATAGGCCCGTCAGTTTATATTGGAAGTGCAAGTTCCAGCATGCATGATTGTTCAATACTAAAACTTTATATGGGAAAATAATAACCTGGAGATCTGATTGTCAAAGAGGCAACTTCACTATTTCCACTTTGTTTGTAGGATGTGTTACGTAGCCCTGGAGCAGTGGGTAAAATTCTATACTGTTTAACAGCAAGCTGTTTTAGCAGAATATTGTACCATAGAGCATTGATTTGAGTAGGGCATCGAATCAACTTTTGGTAACAGCTTCTTCATGTAGCAGCAGTTACTTTCCAAGGCTACAAGTATAGTGTGTATATATGGTGTGGGGGTTATTCCAGTGAAAGTGGGGAGTACACCTTTATTGGAAATCGGAAATTACAAACTCCCTTTGTCCCTTCCTCCTTGGAAATCTGTTACTTTATTTTCTCCAGTATTATACCCAGGTGACCATATGTCTGCACTTGGAGAATAAATTTGTAGTGACTTATTAATGTCATCACAACTAAGCCTTATCGTCCTTGCCGGACATCTGATAAACATGCTGTTTCCACTAGAGAGTCACTGAGTTTCAATCAGTATCAGGAGCTCTGGCTGCTTTTCCTTTCCAGCCCACAAATGCTCAGGTCAATTGTAGATTTCTGAATCTGGCTAAACTGAGATCAGTTAACTTAATACTGATAGTTACTCTTCATTACTGGGAACCTCTGATCCGGAAGGCTTATTGTCACACCATTTTGAGGCTATGCCCTTTCAGCTTTTGAGAGAACTGCAGAATTAAAAACATTCTCAATTTGAGGCACCCCCTTGTAATTTCTAGAGCCTCTTCATGCGTTATTGCTGGGTCGGTGCTGGCATACAACTTGATCCCAGATATTTGGTTAGCCTTAATATGCCCATTAACTACATCTAGCAGTACCTCCAAGAAGTGTTTGTTGCCTTGTTTCAGACCATTCCTGTGGGCATCCGTTGCCATTATGGTGTGAGAAAGCATGTTCCACTTGTATCGCATGGGTTGGCTGGTGGGAATCTAGTCTAAAGAAGTTGTTGACTGATTTGATTGGCATTTCACTACCTGGATAGGCAACTCAAGGGTCAGTTTACTGGGTTTCCTGTTCAGAGAAACCATAAAAGAGTAACATTCCATAAGTTGATGTCACTTGCTAGGGTCTTCTGAGGAAGTTAGTTTGGGTATAGGGCAGCCAGCTGAAGAAGCAAGCTGATCATTCACGGAGCATTCCTTAGACTTGTCACTGACTAAAATTTGTTAGACTGTCAAATTAGGTGATGTTAGATTGTGTGAGCAAATCTTTAATGTAGGAAACATGGGATCCACTTATAGTAATGTCAGAAACCTGAGTGCCAAAGAAAAGTTCTTTGAAAGAGCTGTAATGATTAGATTCTTTGTTAGAGTTACTTTAGGTAATCTAGAAGTTCCAGTTTTGGATTTTACAACTAACCAGATGGCCCAAATGTTTGACCTGGCTTTCCTACATTACAGAGAGAGTGAACTTCAAGAAATCTTAAAAGCTGCAACATAAATGTAAAATTTATTTTTCATGTTTGCTGATCCCGGTTGGATGAGTTTAATTCACTTGACTTGACTTGAAAAGGAAATAAGTTTCAAGAAAGGAGTTTCCAAACTCACTGTTGCCCTTTCCTAGCCATCAATGGACTGGCAATGTCCACCCTAGTGTGTTGGAGAATGTAGGTGTGTAGAAATTGAGAGAACAAATGGGTGTGAAGAAATTATTCAGAATTCAAATAATTTCTCTCTTTGTTTTGATTGTCTGTGTTAATAGGTACAATGCTATTTCAGGAAAATGGGTTGAAGATAAAGTATTCATGAAAATGGCAAAACAGGTAATACTGCCCTTATTGTAAAATATTAACATTTTAATATTATTTCATGCAGCAGCTGTTTTAGATCTTGCTGTTAAGTATTTGCCTGTTTTATCTACATACAATTCTGTTAATCCAAACAGAATGTAGCCAAGAAGCATGGTTCCAGGTCATTGCCAGCTCTCAGCTGGTTGGAAAGGTTTACTATGCAGGAGCCCTTTACCTATTCTTGAACCAGGTTAGCAGTGAAGAAGGAAGAATATGCACCTCAGTGCCCTGCCGTGTAACCTGTCTAAATGGGATATGTAGACATGTGTTTCCTTGATCAACCTGTGTCAGAATGTTGTATATTTAAGGCCCAGTCTTAAAAAAAACACACACAAAGGGAGAAACCTGTGTGGCACTGAAGGGCTGCTACATTGTTGGAATGTCAGTACAGAGGAAATACTGTAGTTTTGGTCATGCCTTTTTGATAAGACTTTAAACCAATTTCTCATCTGCAGTCTCATGTACAAGATCTCAGTGCACGATATAAAGAAGAACAAGGGAATTTTCTCTGGTGCCCTGGCTGATGTTTATCTCCCAACGTCATTGTGGGGCCTAGCTGTTCACAGTCATGTTTCTCTAAATGATGATGGTGACTGCATTTTAAAACTACTCATTACGTCCTAAAACACTTTTGAAACACCCTGACATCATGATCGGCATTGTTTAAAAACAAAATTTTTTAAAAATCATTGTAAGACAAATAACAACTTTGTTCTATGTGCTAGTGAAAAGCATGGTTTGTTCTTGAAGCTCAGTATGCACATTAATGAGGCCTAGCACACATACATACTGTCATCAGATAGATTCCCCATTATTTTTAATTAGGTCACACATTGACCTAATCTTTAGTTCTCCTGATGTTCTATGTGAAAACAGCTTCCACCTGTTTTGACTTACCTAGAACTAGGTGGCATGTGTCTTCTGCAAGCAATTTGTTCTTTTGGTTAGACTGCTATGGTGGTGTTTCTTCAACCTTGGAATATACCTTGAAACAGCTGTAATGGGTGCACTGTTGGTCAGCAGGTTCCTTACTGCACTCCTTCCCTCAATGCCATGCACCATACTGACAAAAACCTGCTTCTGACCCTGTTACATGACTACCAAATCTGTTGAGCAACCATTATGTGGGATTGACGTAAGGTAATTTCGGATCTTGCCATACTCCACTTCGCCTTCTACTATCCTTGCTGAAATTTGAACGTAAACATAATTTAGTTTAGTTTATCCTCTATATGGATCAGTATTATACTTGACTTACATCACTGCAGCATGCGTGCTTTTACTGAACTGTGTACAGAATACAGTGAAGCAGCCCAAATATATAATTTGAAACCTCATTTCATGATTTTAATAGCAAAAGAAAAGCTTATGAGGACTTCTCTAGGAATAAGTACTTGACCTTCATTATGCATTTTATAATGTTTTACAAAATTTTCCAGTAAGTTAAGACATACGTGTTTCCCTTTCAGCCCTTTGGCCGTGGTGCAATGCGGGAATGTTACAGAACGTAAGTTTTATAGCTGTTTTGATGCCTTTGAATATTTGGTGCAGATCAATGCGGATGTTGAAGGCAGGGATATTGAGTTGTGAAGTTTTGCTGTACATTCTCTAACGTAGTTCATTTATGTTTGCTCTGGTTGTGCATTTAACTTATCATGTTATGTGAAATAGTTTCTGTTTCATAATGTAGATAACAGAAAATTCAAAATGTCTTTCTCTCAGTAGAATGTAAACAATAGTGGTAAAACTGAAGATGAACTGGGGTCAATCACTTCACTTTTCCCCGAGTGACAGGATTTAATACAGGTTTTTATATATGACACCACTTGACTTTGTTTCTCCTGTGGCTTTTAAAAAGAAAATTCAGTGGTTCCTGTGTCTCAGTGCAACAACTGGTCTGATACTGAGTTAGGCAGGCCGAGGAATCTCCAGTTTGAGCAGATCAAAGATAGGATAATGACATGGCTATTACAATCAAATTCATTTCTCTGGCTTGTGGGGTGCAGGAGGTGTCAGACCCCCAGTTTGCGGTTACTATTTACTGACTTCACTCTCCTCTTGCAAGGAGGCTTTCCACCACCCAGTACAACTGTGGAAATTGGGGATGCAGTTTTTTTAGGGGGTGGCTTGTAAAGTGCAATCCGTGGTTTGCATACTTCCTGCCAGCTCACCTCCCATTTTTTTTGTAGAAGTTCCATAAGGGGTCCGGCAATCTACCCACCCTTGATTCTATTAAGGCCATATGAATTAATGGCCATATAAATGCCTTCCTTGTTGCTGTTTTACCCAACAAAGGGAGACTCATGCCAGATGGGTACCCCAGTAGTTTTGTTCCCAAAAGTATTTATAAAATTTATAATTGAAGTATATAAGTACATTGAAAAACATCTTGACTTGGAAATTAAAGAGAGTGCAGTAACTTCAACTTGTCTCCATACAACATGTTTCACTCTTCAGTGTCTGAATACAACTGTAATACCTTGATATTTCAATACACATTCCATGTTAGGCAGACAACCTGGGCAAAGCATTTCCAATGACGTATACAGAAAGTGTAGTAGAATTGAACTTTTCTCCATATGACATGTTCCACTCGAAGGTACCACAGTATACTTTCAACATTCTTGATGTTTGCAATGTACTTTGTCTGTTAGGCAAACAATCCAAAGGGTTTTACAATTTCCAACCCCTTGGTGTGTGCTATTGCTGAAACTTGCATTGTGCCAGTCTGCATCTCTTTGCACTGGAAAACCAGCAGGTTTTGGCAGACCAAAGAGCTTCTTTCAGTGAATTGATGGTCCTTCAGTTGCAGTTCATGTTTATCTTGGTATGCATTCCTGGAAACAGCCCACAGAGCACAGAGTGCTTTGTCACAGAACTGCATGGAATGAGCCTCCAGAAAACGACACTTCATCAAAAACCACTGCATCTCCCTCAATATCTTCTTTTCAAAGGCAAATTCTAGAGGGAGGTTGACGACAACTCTTCCCCAACGTAGCTGCTTTGAAGGCAGTGTGTGGCAGGGTGAGACTATGGGCATGCAGGAAAGATGTGACAGGGAGACCTTTATCAGCCAAACTGCATTTTGCTGCCTGTTTAAAAGTTCTGATGAGGCATTCTGCCAAATTTTTTTGGCTTTCTAATCTGGGAACCATGACAGAATCTACCTCTTTTTTTTTTTAGCAAGGCCTTTAGGACATTTGTGCAGACCATTGCATGACCAACTTGTTGTGAAAGATGTCCCTCTGCATAAACTTTGACAACTTTTACTGAGTGGGCTGGGGTTGAGCAAAATTGTGGTTGAACTCTTTTGGCATTCCACTATATCTTTTTGGAGGCAGTCTCCGATGAGGTCATACTTGCCGTTAGCCCTTAGCCCATTGCTGCCATTGATACTTCAGATTTTAACTTCTCTTCATTGAGGACTGCTTGAAGTTTCAACCAAGTGGAGGCTCCACGGAGTGATTCCGGGCTGCAGGACAGCTGGTATGCATGAACCCCTATCATGCAAAAGTAAACTTATCCCCAGAATTTTTCAGTCGAGAAGAAGGGATTTTGACTATTCCTCTGGAGAAAGCTGTTTGCCAGAAAGGGTTTTCAGTCTCCTTTCTCTGCCATTTTCCCAGATATTATTATGTTTCTCTTGTAAATTTGTTTATTTTTAAATCACAGTCAATGAAGATCTGTTTTAGATTATTACAGCTTTGTGAGGCCTGGGATTTCTCCCTTGTAAGTAGATTAGCTGATTTGCTGACACTTTGAAATTCTGCAGACACAGAGCAGAGCATTTCTCTAAATTAGTGTCTTCATTAATGTATGATATGAATTTAAACCCTTGTCATAGTGCTGTTATGCTGCATGCTTCTGAACCAACAGTGGAAACCCATATGTGCACTGTAGGCTTGTCAGGCAGGGCTTTCTGGATGTACTAAGCTGTTTTACCGTCATTTTTGCACATTTCCTAGATGAACTAAAATGTCAACCTTTATTTAACCCTGTCTGAGTTGAATTACGTTTAACTGACTTGTATAATAGTTTGCTTTACTGTGTCTTAATTTTACTTGTCACTGGGTGTAGATGATCCTGAAGGGAAAGGAAGAGCCACCCTGGTTGTCTATATTTATGTGTGAAATTTGCCAGTGTGTCGTGTGGCTGGGAATACTAATGTGTTTAATGGGAAAGCACAGAGTTTAGTTTCTACTCTAATGCTCCCAATAGCCCTAATTGAACCTTGTTGAGACTTACTCTTGATTAATGACCATTTGGACTAGATACTGGAGCACAATCTTCATTTATGGAATCACGTATCAGTGAGGTTCAAAGGTTTTAGAACAGTTGAAGTTTTGCGGCAATTAATGTGTAAAGACTATAAGGAGGCAGAGAACTTAACTCAGAAAGAATTGTCTGTTTGCCAATTAGTTGAATCAAATGCTACATTTTGTTACTTTGTTACTTTTTATCAGGAAGAAGCTCTCAAATTTCACACGTCATCAACAATGGAAATCTGCCTCTAATTATGTAGCAAAGCGCTACTTAGATTCTGTGGACCGGGAAGTGTATTTCGAGGATGTCCGACTTCAAATGGAGGCAAAACTCTGGGGAGAAGAGTACAGCAGGCACAAACCTCCAAAACAGGTGAAGAACTAGATATTGGGCTCACGGATCAGAAGGTTCAGAGTTCCTAATATTGTGAATTCTGAACATAGCAACAAGAGGAAGCCAGTTCGCTCCTGTAGCCTGTTCCACCGTTCAGTTTGATCATGCTTAGTCTGTATTTTAGCTGTATCAACTTTGGGTCTTTAACCCTTGACAATTTTACCTAACAAAAAACCTATTGTCTTGATCATGTTATACATCGTCTTAATAATCATGTTGTCAATCCTTTTGAGACTACAATGATTTAGGGTATGTGCACAATTTAAGGAATTGTGAATTGTGAACGGATAATAAAGAATGACAGAACAAGAATCTAACGGAAGTGAAAGTTCAAATAAAATTATGAATCATAAATACCATTATCAGAATGATAATCACATGACCCAAATATACTTTATTTAAATTTTGTATCTTTTTTGTACTGACAGTGGCTACTATTTGACTGTGTGATGATTATCGCACTGCACGATTATCACGAAATATATCATTAACGTTACCTGAAAATGATTTGTAGATAAATCAGTTGCATTTACTCTGCATCTAAAAAGAATAATCTGTTGATGGAAATGATTACAAGAGAACTCTTGTTAAATGACTTGAATTGTAGTGTACTGAAGTTTTAGTGATGTAAGTATGATGTATCTGACTGCCTGAAAATGGAAAACAGTAGAAATAATGAATACATCTGGAGCATCTGCTGAAAGGGCAAAAATCCCAACAAATTTTTGCCTTCCTTCCGTCCTGAAAAAGAATTATATTCAACTTGAAGCGTTAACTGTGTTTCTTTCTCTATAGATGCTGCCCGATCTACTGAGTATTTCCAGCACGTTCCATTTTCATTTCAGGTTTCCAACATCTACAGTATTTCCTTTTTATTTATGTCTCTCTCACTTTGTGTGCTGGTAGACAAAGTAAATTGGACGTAGTCCAGTCAATGAGATACTACAAAACGTAGTTCCTGGTGTATGGATTCCATGGGCACTAACTGCATTCTGGTATGTTGTCCAACTGACATGAGCTCATTGTTACCCTGTTGACACCAATGGACTCACCACAGGCAAGGGATCAAACCTAGACTTAATTACAGTGTGTTCACTTACTCTGTTAATTTGTTCACTCCCATCAGAAGAACAGTAGAAATCAATGTTCGGCAAAATCTGTGAATTGGTGTTAAATCTGGTATCCATAAACAAGTCTGCAGGAAATGAAATTTTACATTGTCTCCACTGTGTTGGAGCCCATATGTTCGATAGTCTTATTTTATCTTCCCTCGTCCCTAATTTTTGTTGTGAAGGCAGGATTGTGTTTCATTCACAGTTTAAGTGACCTGTCGATACTCACTATCTAGACTTACACCATGCCTCGATGAGTAGCATACTCGCCACTGAAGGTGAAGGTTGTGGGTTCAAGTCGTGCTGTCTAGACACAGATCTAGACCCACTCTCCTAGTACAGAACTGAGGGAGTGGATCATTTCTGTAAACTGAGGCACCACAGGTAGGCATGAAAGATCCATGACATTATTTTGAAAAATAATAAGGTGTTTGCCCTGGTGCCGAGGCCTTTATTTATCCTTCAGCAAACTTTGCTGAAAAAGATTAACTGGTCATTTATTGCATTCCTAATTATAGGACCTTGCTATTCACAAATTTGCTGCCACATTTTGTACAAATATCTCAAAAACTTAATTGTTAGTAAAACATATTGGAAAATCATGAAAAAGCATGAAACGCACTATTTATTTCCATTCTTTCCTCTTTAATTTCTCATAGGAAGACTCAACAACCAAATACACACCCGAGAGTGAGCTATTGCCAGCAGGAGAAATGGGTGTGGATGTTTGGGGGACATAGAGAAAGGCAGCATAATGTGTTTAGCAAGCATGTTCTGCTTTTTAATTATTTTGCTCTTAATAATAGGTTGACATTATGCAGATGTGTATTTTGGAGATGAAGGACAGGCCTGGAAAGCCTCTGTACCACTTGGAGCACTATATAGAGGGTAAATACATCAAATACAACTCCAATTCTGGCTTTGTAAGGGATGAAAATTTTCGCCTTACTCCACAGGTAAGCACTAAATTGGGAATAATGCAAAATAGATTAGTGCTCTAATTCAGTGCCAGCCAGGTAAAACTTCATTTGTACAACCTGATTGTACTCTGCACTCTGAAATTTTCCAACTATAAACGAATTCTAAGTGCATGTGTGCATGGAGAATTGTACTGTTTACAGAGGATGATTTGACGGCCCTTGGGATTGATTGAAAGAAAATTGTTTCGTCAAATATAAGGTAATTCCCCCTCTTTCAAAGGGGAGATGTCTATCTTGAAATTTCTAAATGGAGTAAGACTCCTGTTAAATATATTTTCCAGGATTTAGTCTGTGTTTTTAAAAAGAAAAGTCATGTTATACAATGTGGTGTCTACTGTGGTGTATTTAATGTGTGAAATTTATGGCCAAATATTGTGTCTGTGATAATCGTGTATATTCTGAATTGTGAAATACCGCTCTAGTGAAACAGAATTCATTCATTAATCCTTCCTCTGACCTTGTCATATAATTGCAGGCATTTAGCCATTTCACCTTTGAACGCTCTGCACACCAGCTGATTGTTGTTGACATCCAGGGAGTGGGAGACTTGTACACAGATCCTCAGATTCATACATTTGGTGGTACAGACTTTGGAGATGGCAATTTGGGTAATATTTCTTTATGAACTAGTGACAGATTCATCTGTGATTAAACTGTTCCTTTACTGATCTCAGTTATTTAAACTATTGGTAGATTTCAGTATGTTTTGGTGTAAGAATTTATGATAAAAAGGAAATTGAGCTGAATATTTTTTACAAATCGCTGGTTGGATCAAATCTGTAGTATTTTATTATTCTGAGCACCACACTTCAAGAATGATGTCATTTATTTTCAGAGGGCACAGAGGAGATATACCAGATTAAGAATATAATACATAGGAACAGGAATAGACCTTTTCAGGCTTTTGAATCTAATTTGTCATTCAGCAAAATAATGGTACCAGAGATGAAGGACTAGTGTTGTATAGAGGGAGTAGAGAATCTGATATATATTTTAGAGCTAAAAAAGCCAGCGGGAGATTTGATAGAGGTGTTCAAAATTGTGGACTGTGGCAGCCCTCTGATAGCTCATCCATATGAGATTCCTGGACAGTGAATATTTATGTGCAATTTGACTGTGATGGTTTCTTTGTCTCTCGTCTCATGGACAGTGATTCTGATTGCATCACATACACTTTGAGCAGAGTAATTTAGTTCAGACAAATTGGGGATCAATCCTGGGTCTTTCCTGGTTTGTTTAGCTCAGCTCTACATTGACCCATTAAGACAGTCCATAATAATATGTGTGTTTTCAAAAAAAAGTGTTCATTCTTGGAGAAAATTATACTGATCCTGCACTTTTTACCACAGGTGTGCGAGGGATGGCCTTGTTTTTTCACTCTCATGCATGCAATAGTATTTGTAAGAAAATGGGACTCACGCCATTTGATCTATCTCTTAAAGAAAAGGAAGCGTTGGAACATGCACAGAATCTACTGGTCAGTGCTTTATATCATCTATGTGCTTTGTGTCTCTCCGTTTCTTTCTCAAATTTAATGACTCTTGATAGATTACAGTTGTGGTTTCTGACCAAGTTACCCTGTTCTTCATGGGGGTGCCCAAGTTGGGAGTATCAACTATGAGAGCGTTTCAACCCAGACAGTCCAACTTAAGTATTGTCCAACAGGATTAGCAATTGCTGCAGCAAAGCAGACCATATTTTTTCTTCAGTTTGGGACAATGAGAACAATTGTTCTCATTCTTCTAATGCCACTGTTAAGTAGACTAATCAGTCATCTTGCAGCTAGGTCTCAATCAATATTATTCAGTACCATAATTTTATCATGAAAGAAGAGAAAAAGGACTTGCAATTAAGTGCCTTTCCTGAACCCTCATTTTATTATATTGTGTCTGAAGTGTTAAAGGCACTATCAGACACAAATGGCAAGACAGAAGATGGATATTCGGGAGCTTAGTTAAACTACTGGGATTTGAGGAGAATCTCAGGAAGATAGGAGGTACAGATGGGGAGGATCTAGAGAAGGAATTGTGTTGGGGTAGTCATAGAGTCATACAGCACAAACAGACGCTTCGGTATAAACCTGTCCGTGCCGAACATAATCCCAAACTAAACTAGTCCTACCTGCCTTCTCCTGGCCCATATCCTTTCAAACCTTTCCTTTTCATGTAATTATCCAAATGTCTTTTAAACGTCGTAATTGTAACCACATCCACCGCTTACCCAGGAAGTTCATTCCCCACATGAACCACTCTCTGTGTAAAAGATTTTCCCCCACGTCTTCTTTAAATCTCTCTCCTCTCACCTTAAAAATGTGCGCCCAGTCTTGAAATCCCCCATCCTAGGGAAAAGATGACTACCACTAATTCTATCTATACTCCTTTATTATTTTATAAACTGACCATAATTTCTGCATTTGCATCAGATTTTGTAAATTCTCCCAAAGATGGCACTTCATTTTCTTCTGCGTATTCAATTTCTCAAATTCTACTTGCCCTGATTGCTTTCCCTTTAAATTTCTGTGCTGGGATCATTTTGCTGTAGCATCCAGCTTTAAACTGCTCACTTCTCTTTCAAGAGTGGCACTGCTGCACATTTATGGTAGGACAGTCTTGACATCAATGTAGGTTTTTTAGCTCCACAGTGGGAACACTGGGGTAATGGTGGTAACACTCCACTTCGTTCTGGTTCTTCTTTTAATCTAGTGAAATTTGCCCTATCGTGGTATTTCTTTCAAGGCTGAAATATGAATCAAAAATCTTATTAACATAGTCATATGTCAGAATGTTTTCATTAATGCCCTGTCTAACCATATGTCTTCTGCACAACCACAATAGCACACAAATATTTAGATCTATTCTTATTGAGCTTCTGTGCTAACCTCAAAGTGATAAAGTAACTGATAAACCCGTGACACCTACCTGCCATCGCTTGGCTTGGTTAGGGCCTTCCACACGGTCAAAGCATTTGGGTACTGGTAAGATTTTCTTCGTGACTTTTTGTTGCTGTAACTTGCCTTTGAACTCCATACGTGTAATTCTTGTCTGTTTACTGGCTACTTTTTAGTCCATGGTCTTTCTGCTTATAGTTGATTGGTTTTCTCATTCTGTCTTCGGTATCATCGGGAATTTACTCAATATGTTTTAGCCACTGCCACCATATGTTATCATCATTGTGGAGCCTAGGATATGTTTAACAGAGGCTGCGTTTAACAGAGGCTGCTGGCAGCAACACTGTTAGTAACTGTTGAACATTTAACTGTGTATGAAGTTAGATGAGTATTGGATCTATCTGTCTCTAGGCATTGATAACATATGATAAAAATATTTCAGTGTGATTGTACAGAATATTTGGCCTTAATTGCCTTTGGTACAAAAGTTTTTAATATATAAAATTTGACCAATGTTTTGTGGACAACTAAATTTTTAGCTCTTCTTGCACAGTCTGTTAGGTGCTAAATTCTTCAGGGTCTTAAGTGACCACAAATGTTCCAGTTATCATCAAGTTGCACCAGATATCAATCTTCGTCTCCGGTTTATGTGTACCCAAAGCCTGGTGCTGATGCTCCAAAGTTAAGTAGCAACCACGCGTTAAGTGAGTATAGGAGTTGGGAGGTCATGTTGTGGCTGTACAGGACATTGGTTAGGCCACTTTTGGAATACTGCGTGCAATACTGGTCTCCCTGCTGTAGGAGGGATATTGTGAAACTTCAAAGGGTTCGGAAAAGATTTACAAGATTGTTGCCAGGGCTGGAGGGTTTGAGCTATAGGGAGAGGCTGAATAAGCTCGGGCTATTTGATTTGATGATTTGATTTGATTTGTTTTCACATGTACCTAAGTATAGTGAAAAGCTTTGTTTGCAAGCAGTACAGACATACCATTGTAAGGAAGGACATACAGATCATAGGATGAAAAAAACACTTGGACAAAGTAAGACATACAGGTTACACCGCACAGGACATGTTCTAGACAAGATCAACATTACAAGATTAGCATTATTTGAAGTTAGAGAGTCCATTCACCAGTCTAATAACAGCAGGGAAGAAGCTGTTCCTGAACCTGCCTGTGTGTGTGTTCCCGATGGAAGAGGCTGCAAGCTAGCACTACCAGGGTGGGATAGGTCTTTGATGTTGGCAGCCCCTCTGTGACAACAAGACGTGCAAGCGGGGTCCGCAGATGGGAGGCTGGCTTCCGTGACGGTCTGGGCCTTGCACACAATCCCCTGTAGCCTCCTACATTCCTAGGCAGAGCAGTTGCTGCACCAGGTGTGGGATATGGTAGCAGAATTTAGTTGAGCTGAATTTTGTGAAGGTTGGAAGGGTTTGCCAGCAGGATGGTGGAATAATTGAATCTACAATTACTTTTCACGGTTCACTCATGGGATGTGTGGAATGCTGGCTGGGCCAGTATTTACTACCTATCTGTAGTTGCCCTAGACAAGGTGATTTCGAGCTGCATTCTTGACCATTGTAGTCCATTTGGTATAAGTGGACCCACAAAGCTTTTAGGGAGGGAGTTTCAGGATTTTGACCCAGCCATACTGGAAGGTGATATATTTCCAAGTCACATGATGGAGGGGAAGATGCAAGTAGTGATGTTCACATGCGTTTGCTGCCCTCATCCTCTAGATGAAGTGGTCATAGGTTTGGAAGGTGCAGTCTAAGAGACCTTAGTGAATTTCTGCATATCTTGCAGGTAGCACATACTGTAGTTACTGATTGTCAGTAGTGGAGGGAGTGGATGCTTGTGGATGTCATGCCAATCAAATGAGCTACTTTGTCCTGGATGCTGTGGAGCTGCACTCATCTAGGCAAGTGGGGAGTATTGCATCATGCTCCTGACTTGTACCTAGTAGATGTTGAATAGGTTTTTGGGAGTCAGGAGGTGAGTTGCTCACTGAAAAATTCCTTACCTCTGGCCTGATCTTATAGCTACAGTAATATAATAGTAATACATGGCTGTTCCAATTCAGTTTCTGGTAAATAGTAACCCCCAGGATGTATGCCAAGGGGCGATGATTAGATCCTCTTCTGTTGGATCTGGTCATTGCCCAGCACTCATGTGGCATGACAGTTACTTGTCAAGTCAGCCCAAACCTGATTATTGCATTAGGGTTTCAGCAGCAAATGTGATACAAATGGAAATAGGTGTCTTTATGAAGGCAAAACTAATCTGCCTGGTTGAAAAAAATTAATGTGTAACTGATTAGCAATGATTGGAATTTTCCTAAACCACAAAATATACATTAGTATGATTGAAGTCTTGTCTGTAAAATATTCTTCAGCTGGTTGACTTAGATTTGTCATTTTCTCACCTAAGTGTGAATGGGTGCTTCTCTTTGAATAAATACGTTTCTGTCTTCCTTGAATCAGAAAACAGCCAAAACTGTCCTTCGAGGCACAGAGGAAGTCTGTGGAAGCACTCGGGTGAGAACCATCTCTGGCTCCAGGCCTCCAATTCTAACACGCCTCTCTGAGAACTCTGCAGATGAAAATATGAGTGACAGCACATTTGACTCTCTTCCCTCCTCCCCATCATCTTGGTGGAGTCCTAAGGAAGATTTGCTGGGGAAATCTCCAATGGGTAAATTCTGTTTCTCCAATTACATTGTTAAAGTGTTGCACAGGTCATGAGGACTACATTTAGTATCGTGGAACATGGGTAATTTGCAGCAGCTTTTTTTTATATTCCATAGTCAGTTTCCATGACTCTTCAGATATTTCTGTTAATCTGTTGTACTTGCTTCTTTGTTTCACTTAGGTTGGACAATTTTGAATCAAGGTGATAATCTGGGTGATGACCACAGTGATTCATTGCCTGAGAGAAGGGTAAAATCATATATATATAGTGATTGTTCTAATATGTAGTTTTTCACCTAATGTTCAGTTTTGTAGCACTAACTCCAAGTAGCTCTGTAACATATGATGTTAACATTCATACTACCATACAGACACAGTCTCTCTGCTTTTGCTTTTCTATTTCTCTTACAATTAATTAAGATTGTAGACATGTATGTCAAGGTACATCCATTTAGGTATCAAACATTTTATCCTTTTGATGTAGTGTCAAATCCACATTAAATTGGTGCTGTGAAATGATAGCACCACGCTCTCCCACAT